AAAAAAAAAGACGGAATGGCAGTAAAATGTTTGCATACAATTGTAACAAATCGGTACCACATTAGTGCAGATGCGCTACATGTTAATGACGAATGTCGATAGTTCTACCGTCTGTTCTGAAGGTGCTAATAATTTCTTGATGGTAATCGATGTACAAATCAGATGAGACAGTTGTTTTAATAGGATGGATAATTTGCATCTGTCAATTCGGTGCGTCACAGTCGCAACTTAAAAATATATATGAAATGTTCTGAACTGTTATTTTTCTGCGCGGCAATAAAGCTTATATGCATTGTAAAACAGTAAAGATGATAATTTATATTTTTAATAATGTGCATTGCTCAATTCTATGCTAACACATTATTTGCTGTTAATTATTTACTGCTTTTCTTTGCTTGAAATCAGAAAATTCAGATTTATCTTAATCTCAACAAATAAAAAGAAAAACAATATAAATGTGGTACAGTAAGTTATGAGCTTAATCAGTGAAGCCATAAATCTGGAAGGACTCATTCTGAACAAGAATATTTCAATAGCGTCAATTAAGTATAAGATGATTTAATTTACTTTAAGAAGTTTAGATTAGTAAATTAGTATGCATTCTTATCATTAGTACTGTTTTGTTTTCAAATTTCTCTTCCTAACTCGCAATAAACTCATTTTCATTGCGATATTAGTTCTTCACATGTTTGTCAGTAATTTTTTATTCAGATATATTAATTATTCAAATATGGACTATTTTTTTAATTTGCTATTTTAATATCACAAAAACAGATTCTTAGAAGTCAATATGAGGAAAGCAGTCAAGAATATAGCAGAGATGGGACAGTAATTAAAATATTCATTTCAGTACTTTCCATTCAAAAGAAATTTTCCTATGTTCACTTTTTTCGTAATATTTGATCTCAAAAAAATTGGTTTGTAAAATTCTGCATGTCATCAAAATTACGAGATTTGAATAAATGAATCATGCGAATTTCGAGGCACTATATTAATAAATGTTAAAAGTTAGAATTGATAATCATTATTGTACCATTCTATCCTACTAACCGGTAAGATCTTTTTATCTGATTTGCCTGTAAAACTGTGGCTTCAAGTCCAATTGACTCGTGCTAAAAGGTACTGTAGTTTTTTTTCTTTGGAAGGATTCGTTGCGATTTTCCTGAAACCGATTTAAAAAAATTTTTTTCTTAATAGACGCATTAAAAAGTTCTTCGTGAAAAGGTAACGCTTTTAGAACTATTTCACTTTATTTGACTGTAATATTACAGTTATTAGAAAAAAACAACTATTTATCACCAATTTTGATGAGTACATAAAATAAATTAATATAATAAACTAAAATGCTAAAATAATTTTTTGACTTATTTTATTCTTAAAAATAACGTAAACATCAGTAAACACTTTCAAGCACAATAGCTAACTAAAGTTTCACAGTGAATAGTGTTATTTTTATCACATGTCATTGTTTCAGCTAATATAGAAATCGTCAAAAAATGAAGTCAAATGGTAACTGCTTAAAATTTTTGGCGGTAGTATGAAATTCAGAAATCTCAACAATTAACTCAAAATCGTCTACTGAAGTTCCCAAAGAATTAACCTTAACTCTCATCCAATGCTTCTCATTTAATGTATAAAATGTGAACTGAGAATAAACTGATATAAGTAGTGAATTGAATCATTACACAGTATGAAGTAAATACTATTTCAATCACATTGTTTAGCTAAGTTTTTATTAGACTTATTATTTCAGATATTGACAAAAATACGAGAAGAAAAAGTGTGAGAAATATAGAAGTATGCAAGCTTTTATTCGTTATTTCTATTAAAAATCATTTGCACTGGTTTTTTGCTTCTCAATACTTAAAATGGCATTTTGACAAAATTTTTTAAACTTTTTGTATAAATTCTTCAAAATGTATGACTCTTAAATAACTCAACTTAGCATGGTGTAATTGTTGATACGTATAATCCCTATTATAATTATTTCGATGAACGATATGTAAGTTTTCTTGCAAACATTATTTGTAGCACTTTGTTATTTTTTAAAAGCATGAAATTAACATTATAACTTTTATCTAGCAAAGTTAGCTAATATTGATTCAAAAACCAGATTTGGTTAACTTTTGTCAGAACAAAATAGAATCAAAGTCTTATCAATTAATTACTGCACTGAAATAATTAAAAGAACCAAGTGATTAAGCAGAAATATAGAGGTCAGGCATGTGCATTTATTTGGTACTTTACATAATTATGGATAAAATTTTGAATAAATTTTTAGAGGCTTTCGATACATAAAGGAAGAAAAAAGAAAAGAAGTAATTAAATTTACATTTTTCCTTACTTTTACTCTTAAACCTACCATGGTAATATTTCTAACAGTAATTCTATCTGCCTGATAAAACAGTAAAATCACTGATAGTTTCTTTACTTACAGTAAACATTCCAAATAATGGAGTTCTATATTTTTTATTATTTACGATCAGAAAATTTGAAAATTCTGATTAACTGTTAAATGCTTAATCAATAAATATTTAGAAGCTATTCTTCTTATTTTCTTAATCATTTTAAGAAACAGCACCTGCATCCGCGCCTACAATGCTACAACCATCAAAACCACAACCATCTGTAGAAAGTTCATCTCAAAATACTTCTCAAAATTCATTAGCCAAGGTTAAGAATACTTTTGCGTTCATTTTTATGAAAATTGAATTAAACCCAGGCATATCATTTACTATTTCTAATTCTTTTTTTCTAATTAGTAGTAAGGTGCGCGATGAACAATTAATTGCTTGAGTTGAAAGAATTATCTGACTACTACTTTTTCTTTTTCTTCAGCTTTTTTTATTTAATAACAATTTTTAAAATAAATATTTCGACTACTATCCTTTTTTGAGTTAAGTTCTCATGTAAATTTTTTTTAAATCAATAGATTTTAAATGTGTAAGTAATTCAGTACTTATATTAAATAAATTAGATTTCTAATTTAAATGTAAGTCACTCCATTTTGTTATCACTCATAAAAAGTAGATTAGGTGAATAAAAGTATCGGAGAGTAATACTGTTTTTGATTGAACTTTGGGCAACACCAGTAAATTGTTTCAAGCACTCTTCATTATTGCTTTTTGACATGTTGAGTGATTGACAAACTGAGCTAAACAAAGAGGTCAAATGAATTTATTTGAAATTGGAGCATACAGTACAAAATATGCAAAAGCAGTAGTGATCAACAAGTTGCTATGTTAAAATAATAGATATAACTGAGAATATTCATAATATCAACTTCAACTTATAACCTCATAATAGCATCTGATTAACGTTTCTGAAATAAAAGATTATTCTTGTTTTTAACATGAAAGTGTTGCTAAACATAAATAAATAATTAGTTTACAAATCAAACTTTTGCGTGATTAAAGTGATTAATATTTCAGGCCTCGTCCAAAAAGTAAGTGTCAACCACTTATGATTTTGCTTTGGAATGTACAGGAAGAACTAAAAATGGTGTATTGTTAACAACTACAAAAACATGGCATTAAACTGAGATACGTGGAGTGAATATAATTTAAAAAAAAAAAACAGCAACAACATATTTTAATTCTTTTTTATTTTTTTGTTAATAAAAGTGGCAGGTGGTAAGCTCATTTGCAAAAAGACATACATACTTGTAGGGTAACTGTGGAACAAGACAAGAAGATTGAAAGAGTAGCGAAAAAAGAAGCAGTTGAGAAGGAAATCAAAGTAGATAAAAAAATTGTCAAGAATGACCCCAAACCTTCGACAAATGTGAACCCAAATCATAGTAAGTTTGTACAGTTTCATCTCTAACTCTGGTGGACTTTGACATTTAAAAGCTATTGAAGAGAAAGTCAATATTCATTATTGTTTTACATGCCAAATGTATTTTGGACAGTAGCAGGACTGAGTTCTGCTATTAACGTACTCATAAATGTATTTTCAAATGAAATGTTTTTAAAAAACATCTAACAAATTCTCATCAAAAATTTTTATTAGTAATTTATACTGTATTTCATTTCTATAATACTTAATACGTATGATGTAACAGAAGAAAATACGAATAGTGTACCAAAAAATGAAGTGCAAATACTATAACTAATCATAGTTATCAATTTATAGCAATAGTTATAAAGTAGCAGTGATGGTTAATTAGTTATTTCTTGATACTAGATCAAAAATCAACTGAGCAAGAAGTCACCACTGCTAATTCTGCACCAATAAAACCAGATGACCAATGTGGTACTGCCGAGAACCTTAAACCAGAAGACCATAAAGGTGTAATTGCAACGAGTGCACCGGGAGAATCAGAAGACCATAAAGGTATTGCTGCGACAACTTCACTGGGAGAATCAGCAGATCAAAAAGGGGACATTATTACTGCTGTACCTGCAGATCAGAAAGGTACCTCTGACACAACTGCACCTGCGGTGCTGATAGAGTCTGCTCAAAATCATAAGCTACCAATAGCTGAAAGTAGCATAAATATTGTTGAAGAGAGCACATATATAACAATACTGGAAAATTCTGAGGATGACGGAAGTGATGACGATAATGAGCAAAGCGATAATGAAAAAAAAAGTGGCTTCTTCTCTGTACGGTCTACTAGTGATCAGCAGAGCATCGATGGAAACACAGAAAATGATGATGAAGAAAGCTATTTCACACTTGCTTCAGCAGATATAAATAGTATTACTGATAATAACTGAAATCACTGATTAACTTTCCTTTACTGATATAAACGAAGTTAATTCCTTCTGATAATTTTGAACAGTCCTTGAAAGAGCATGCAACAAACAGAAAATATCGTGTTTCTCAGTAAATGTGATGAGATCATTTAGTTCAATAATCTGATAAATGCATTTAATCAAATTTCTTTCATTCAAAGAAATTTATTTTTCTAATTTTAATGAGAAAAAATTTAAAGAAAATAAGAAAAACAAATTACTCATGTTAGTACAACACAGAATGATGGATTAAGTCTGTAATTGAATAAAATCGCAGTATGCTTTTCTGCGTAGCCTTTTCAGTGAAATACCACCTGAAAATTGTTTTTTATTTGCATACTCTGAATTTTTGAACAGATGCAAGCGAGAAGAGATTTTGCTTTTTGCACAATTGTCTGTTAAAACAATGATTTTAACAGCACGTAATTTGACGTGAATGATTAGTAATGATTTGCTACTTATGCTCACGAATGATCATTTACTTCTTGTTTTGCAAATGACCTGAAAAATGGCTTAAATAAGATTTTCCATGATTTTTGGAGCCGAAAATTAGATTCTCTCTGTTTGTTTTGACAGACCGTATCAGCCAAAATTTTATCCACCTATCACTAATGACTTTCAATAAAAAGCTTTTTCATGTATTTTTATATCCAAAAAATATATGTTTAGTTTATTACGATAAGCAATGAATTTTTGATTTAGATATTGCTGGCAATCGAGTATTATGCTAGAAATTCGAATTTTTTCAAGTTTAAACTTTCGATTATGTAAAGTTTCGAAATAACAGCACGATTTGAATAACAATTAATCCATAATCTTTTAACTGATATCGCAATGCAATACAGTCCATTGCTAGTAAAATAATAAATCTGACAAAGATAATCTTTATCTCTTTTGCAGTAAAATCTTAGCCAATTTCTCAGAAGTTTTTTACAATGATGAAAATGAAAATTAAAAAAAACTTTTACTTTATGTCTACACAACAAAGTAAGTAGTGTATGAGGGAGTATGCTGCAATTTATATTGAGTCTTTTGTCACATATGCGTACATCAGCAGCAACGCATGTAATTCAAACGTTTAATGTGTGTATGCGTCAGCACGAATTTGTGTATGTTCCAGTTATTAAATTTTCAATAAAATTGTGGATCAATAAAATTATGCATAGAAAAGGCATGTGAATGCCTCTTTTCTAGCCTTGTACATAGTTGAATCATAGCAGTCTTTCAGAATATGAAAACTGGAAAAATTGAAGAATTAATTTTATTTCCCATTCAATTTTTCAGTACCAGCTTAATCTTGTAAGTCAGACAAGACAAGACTTCTCATGCATTCTTCCATTTCATTTCATTTCCATTCATTCCACGCTATCATTACAACGAATTCAAATCCAATTACCAAATTCAACCAATCAGTGCAAAACTCTCTTAAAAAACTTAACTGTTATACGCTTTTATTAAGTAAAAAAAGAAGACGAAAAGAAGTAATAGTGAAGATATCAGAGCATTTTTCAGCACAAATAGTGAAAAAGTGAGAGAGAGAATGCTCTGAATTGAAATTCAATAACTGAAATTGAAAATGTAATAACTGAAATTTAAAATGCTTAATTTCTTTCTATTAAGTAAAAAAGTTTACTTGCTTATTTCATACTCAAAAATTTAATCTCTGAAGAAATAGTATTAATTTTTTGCTTATAAATTACTATAAAGTAGTAATAGAATTGTGATTGAATGCGTCTGAATGGTTAGTTATTATGCGAAGGGAAAACCAATGCAAATTTTTTTTAATTGCAGACAGCAGAACTTTAATCACAACTGCAATAACAAATGCCCATGAAAATTTACAGTATGTTAACCTTGAAACTTTTCAAATGCATACTATGAGAAGTCGTCAAAATTATTTTCACTAAATATGACAAAATATTTTCACTGAAATTGTACAGTGAATCAGTCAATAACTTTCAAACGGGTAAAGTAACACAGATCAAATCATTGCCCTCACAATCAGTAACTTTCAAACAGGTAATGTAATGCAGATCAAATCATTGCTCTTACAATCAATAACTTTCAAACATCAAACAGGTAAGGTAATACCGATCAAATCATTGCTCTTACAATCAATGACTTTCAAACATCAAACAGGTAAGGTAATAGCGATCGAAATCATTGCTCTCAAAAAATACTTGTTTGTTCCTCGCACAAACAACCCTCTAAGAGCAAAAGCAGTGCAAGACTTCCAAATGCTATCTGACTCACTTCTTCAATCTATAATACATGGCATGCTTTGCTACCCATTCCTTCAATTCTATATATTGCACATTCCAATTTCTTCGTTTCTGAGAGAATGAATCTGAATTTTGAATTTGTAGGGAAATCCTTCCTCCAATAGTCATCTTCCATCCACTGACACGAAAAGACTTTCGTTTTGACAACAAAAGGATGAAGTTTCGATTTTTTGTCAACTTGTGCACAAAAAGTCCCTCTTACTCATTTCTTCATTACAGTAATAAGTGAACTAATACCTTTTCACTTCTGCTCATAACTTCAGAATACATGTCATGTAAGTAATGAAATGTACCACTGAAAACTTACAATGCTTTCAAATTTTTGAATTTTGTTTGCATAATTTATCATCAATTTTCTTTCACGTTAAATGTCACTTATATTTACATATGTCATCATCAGTGATTCATGCGTTCTTATGACTTACTTACGTAAAAATTTGGTGTAATTTTATTAACAAAGATATATATTATTTGTATAGTAGTGAGATCAGAATTTCTGCTTTTGACAGAACAACAACCGACGTTTTATCAATGATTTATTTACGCTGAAGTGTGTCTCTCTGATGAACTTTAATGCTATGATTCATTTTCCAAAGATTTCATTCTTTCTAGTCATATTAATTTTGGTTTCAATATATTATAGTTACTTTTTAGTACACTTCAGCAGAAATTAGATCAAAATTATGCAGCAACGGGCATTCATTTTATACGTGAAGTGACATTCATAGAAACAATGAATAAAATAACGTATAAACGTACAAAATCAAAAATTCACAAGAATTTGGGAGAAATATTACAATTCGCACATTTTGAATTCATAATAGCATGTGATTCAGACTATAAATATGTGACTGTATCAATTCTAAAAAAAGTAATCACAAAAAGACCACAACTTGGAAGGAATTACTGTGAATTCATATGTCAGCGAATAGGTAAAATTTTGTCTGCTTTTAAAAGTTTGGGTTTGTTTGAAGACAACAAGTATGAATTAGGTCTGTAGTTGATTTGCAAACATGATCTATTTATGAGTTGCAACTGTGAGTTTCAAGAGCTGGTCAAATAACGGATGCTGGTCGAATCTGAAATGACAGGACAATGCTCAAATATAGGTAGAGTTTTCCAATGCCTATTTGATGTGAGAGAGAAAGGTTGAGTGGGAATTTGTGAGGGTGAGTGTGTCTATAAGTCAGACAAGTAGCAGGTTATCGATCTTGCTTTCCGTCAGCGTCTACCTCAATTGTGATCCAAAGATAATCTTTAGTTTTCTAGTTTAATCTTGCTTATTTTCGTCTAAAGTCTTTTGTTGTTTTGCCTATTCACATTCTCAAATAAGTTATCGTATGACTCGTTTTACTTACATTTCAATCCACGTTGTGTTACTTCACGTCTTGTCGTTTATCATTTGTTTAATTTAATTAATTATTACTGATAGTATACGAAAATTCATTTACTAATTTTGCGTTTTATATTTTGTTTAGAAATTTCAATTGAAAATGCTAACATAAATATTGTGCATAATTTGTTTATTCATAATAAAACACATTCGTTTAGGACGATATGCTCTTTGTTGGATTGCTATGGTCAGCATTTGCTGTAGTCGCGTTAAGCGATACTGACGTGGATCAAACCGTGCGGGATGTCACAACTACTAAGGTAGTTTTTTAACTCTATAATATTATTAAATTTTTATATCATTTTTACTTCCCATAATATTTATTTCATACAGATATATATTCTATTAGCAAGAAGTAAAATTTCTAGCAGCGTAGTTGTTTTTCATTTTATTGTACTTTGATTGCCCTTCTTTGATTTTCTATCGTTTTTTTTTTCAGTTGATTTCGTTTTTTTTTTAAATTATCATATTAGTGCTTTGTTTTTAAGGTACGCTTAGAAGGATAAAGCTGCAGTCAGCTAATAAAGTTCTCTTCTCTACAATTTTTTTAATGCACAAAGAAAAATATCTTGTCACTTACTTACTGATTGTTGTTTACTTCATGATATTTAATAGGTTTATAGTTGTAGTGCATTTGTTACTTACTTTTATGGATACTTTGCTAGAACTTTTGTTCAGTAACAGTTTGCTTTTTTGTTGGCTGTGAATGTCTTTTATTTTTAAATTTTATTTGATGCTTTGGTTATTTTGGTATAATATTTTGGCTTTAAATATTTTTGTAATATATATGGAAATATTTTTAGTGTTATAAAGGAACTTTAAGTCTAACTTTAAGTCATGATCAGTGAACTTTTACTGTTGTACCATTTTTCGTACTTATCTTCATGATGTTTCTTATACTTATATGATATTTACTTATTTTTTTGTTACAGAGTGGCGCTAAATGGTGTCCAATGCCAGTAGTTGGAACAGAATGTCCCGCATCAAGTATATTTCATTATTATGCTTGCTGTGGCAGTGCTAACAAGGATTGTTGTTTCAATCTACAGGTTATTAGTCTTTACTCTTACCAGTTACTTCGAAGAAAAATTCTAATGCTAGTTAATTACTGCTGAATAGCAGTTATAGCGATTATTGTAGTATTGTCCATCATTTATACTCTTCATAATACTTATTAATTTATTTCACTTAAAGTATTTCACTTTAAATTGATTTTAGGTAGCAATTAATTTTAAGTGTTATTTTTCGTAATTTGTTCTGTATAGGATGTTTACTGCATATTAGTATAATCATTTCAGTTATGAGACTCTCAAAATGAGTTTGAATTTTAAAAAAAAACATTATTTCTGATTAATTAATTAGTGCATATTTTACTAATATTTCTTTGCAGTTATGGGTCATTGTTGTTTTGGCAGTTATCGCAGTAATTATGCTTGCTTCTTTCGTAATTTCAATCCTACGCTGTCTATTCTGTCGTCGTTAAAAAAATTTAGATACAGCTTGAAACGTACTAATGGATTTGGTAACTTTTCTTTTCACGTACTTCATCGAAATTTAAAGTTTTTGTAACCTAATTGTAATAAAATATTCTTGTTTAATCTTTAATTTCCAAAGACAAATATTTGTCCCAAAATCACTGACGAAATAAAACCTACCTCACTGCCACGTTTCAATGCTGCTAAATAGAGGTTATACAAATTTTTGAACCAGAAGTTGATAGTCAGCTTGCTTGTTTATCTTCAACAGATTGAAGTCTTGAAGATTTCGGCTTGTGCAAGCTTAATCGTTTTTTTCAGTTGGTCAATGCGTTAGTGATTTTGGGATAATGCTGTGATAAATTTAGACTTGATATTTTATGTTTTATCATTATTTAGTCTAATAATTTGTCTTGTATTTATCATTTTGAAAAAAGTGACAAAAATATCTGAAAATTTTTTTGTGGTGCATAATATCTACGCTGTAATCCATTAGATAGGATTTGATACGTTTGATTCGTGTGACACTTATTATTTTATCTCTTTTTCAAGGCAAATCAAATACATTTCTGCTTCATCTTTACGCATTTTTAATGTGACGTGTATTTAAAATGTGACATACTTTTTTCTATAATACGTTTTGAACGAAATTTTCAAATTTGATATACTTTGATATATGTGAACTAATTAATGCATTTGTATTTCATTTCACTTTTTTGCTTGTGTAAAAGTTTTAATTAATGATTGTAGCTGTAAAGTATACTTCTATAAATAAATGCTTAATCTTAATGTGCTTAGCACTTGCATTCAATGCATACTAGCAATAAACAATTTCACATGTGGGTTTGAAGCAGAATTAACATGTATTTAAAAAAATTCCTGAAGAAAAACGTCCAATCTCCACTTTCTCATAAAATGCAAGTAAATAGGTTACTGGAAGTGCGTGTTGTTCAATGCTATATTATATTTTATTGGCAGTGAACAAAGAAATCAAATACTGCTATTGCAGTGCAGGCCTCTCCGATTCATCAAACTATACTTGTTCAATTCATTAAATCACATGACTCACTAATGGCTGCCATGACTTGACTTACTCAGTTGACTGCAGTTCATCAGAATTTCACTTATCAAAGTTCAGTGTTTGGAGTCTTTCGGTTAAACGAATACTAGTGAAGCAGTGGTGTTTAATAAATATCGGGAAATTTTCTAACTTTAGAAAAGTAATGGGATTTCGCCTAAATAACTTTCATAAACAAGAATATGACTGGAAGTTACCAAAAAAGCTAAGCCTAAAAATATGACTGAAAACTTGAGAAATTCAAATATCATCAAAATTAGTGAAATTTTTTAGAAAATAAATAATTTCAAATCAAATTCAAATTTATTTCTTTAATAAATACCACCAGATCATTCGAACTTCATCATTGTAATTTTTTTCAGTATTATCTACGACTCGTAGTAGTTTAAATTCTGCAAGTGTAACATGTACTGTTCTAATTTAGAAATAACGGCAACATGTGATATAGATTCTTATTTATAAACACCTTGAAATTAATGTAATAGACACTTGGTTACATTCACTGCTTTCTAGAATTGATGTTTGGATGGGTGACCTAGCGGAACGGAACCAAATGACTTCCAGTTCAATTCCCTCTAAAACTGCTGATCAGTTGCTATTGTTACCGGAAGATAGTGCCTGTTTTACCCCGAATACATCGATCGAATCATATACTGATTTTTCGGGTTTTTATTTTGCCACAAAAACGCATAAGATTCCTGATATGAAACAGAAGCAACCAAATAGTTGTGCTGCTGGTGATCTCGCTGAGAATCATCGTAAGTAGCTACACAAAATTTGTATGTTTCTGAACAAAAGAATCAGTAAATTCCTGAAGCATAGAGTAAATATGCATGCATATTGAACTGTGCTTTTACTTTTTGCTGCAAAATAAGAACCAGCAAACGTTAATTACTTCTGATAATTAATGTCTGCCCACTTGCTAATAATTATCAAATTAAATAAAACCAATGTAACACATTGTAACTGACAATGATCAATAATTAACCAATCACAAATTTAAATAACTGACATTTACTTTAATGACACATGACGGCAAAAATAAGCAGGCAGTGACAATAGTTATTTTAGATATTCACATTACGTGATAGACATTTATATAGTCGTCACATGTTATACGGATATTGCTTTTTATGATTTTAGCTAATCCAGTAATTATATTGTATATTTGCAATTAATTTCAGTATGGATATCTGATAGTAAATCAGGCTACAGCTTATTTGAAAGCGACTATGAAATTTGGACAGGTAAACAAGCGTACCGCCAGCATTGCGAGAACCCATTTCCACAAGATTTTATGCTTTTAGCCAGCATATTTTTGACACCTGCAAAAATGGAATCCATAAAAATTGACACAGAAAATTTTCTACCGTTATTTAGATTTTCGAAGTTTTTAAACTTTTTGATAAAATAAAAATCAATTCTTGAATGAAATTTCAGAAAACGACTACGAGTTTCCGAACTGGAGCTGGCCTTATGCTTCGACTTCAAAACCGCCTAAGAGGAAGATGGATAAAAAGCTACACGCCTCATCATCCTTCTACCATGTTCTTGATATGAATACAGAAATCGGTAAAATGATTACCTTTATATTTCAAATATTATAGTTTTCAGTACCGAAAAACTTAAAATCTAAATCAGGCAAGGATGCTGCATCATGAATATTACACTACGAACAGTCTTCTATAATTCATAAGTAACGAAGTAATTAAAAACTGTATTCTACTAAAGTTCTTTAAAAAAAATAAAAGCGAGATTTTTATATGTTTAGAATGACCCATGAAGCAATGAGAAATTAAATAAATAAACTTGACGGAAATATCCGGAATCAGAGTATTTTCTAAATCCATACGAAATATTACTTTTGTTAGTTTATTAGTTCAAAGTTCCTCTGATATTCACTTTTATTTCGCAGCCTTCAAATTACTTCTGTAATTATTTCTCAAAAAAAAGCTTTATTAATAATTAATTTATTCCAGCAAACAAGACCGCTCATATAGCGCACGTTCCATCACAATATTATTTAGAAGAACTAAAAAACTATGCCCTTTACAGTAACGTGCCACACGTTGTACAAGCACTAATGGTTTGTAAAACTCTTTTTCATAAAATAACAACTAAATATAAGAAAAAAAATAAAAAAAATATTTAAAAGAAAAAAACCTTTAACACATGGTCCAAATTACGTTGTAAATAATCTTTTTTGTGCGTCACTACTCAGTTTTGCAGTCATTATTAGATAGAAAGGAATGTCTATCTAATAATGACTGCAAAACTGAGTAGTGACGCACAAAAAAGAAAAAAGCTCAATATCCCGCAATTTTAGAAGCCATATTTTCCGTCCGTAGAAACTGAATCAGAATATATATTCAAATGATTAACAATGATACGTAAGGACTATCGCACTATGTCTATCTCGATGTCCAAATAAGATTTATGGCAAATGCAACGAAACGTCAATTATCTTGAAAATCAAATAATGTTTAAAGAACAGTTCAAGTACATGAACTTTATTCATTACAAAAACTTTAAATACTCAAAATACTTAAACACACTCAAGTAAAATTGAATTCTGAAGCTTCATGAACACATAAACACAGTTCCTATAATTCCAAATCAACTGTCGAACAGAATAAAACATAAACGATCAATTTAATGTTTGACAAAATCGATTTCGAATAGCAAAAGTTGCTAAAGTGTTAGCTAGTTCCTCCGGGGAATCTTCTTGAACAGCATGACCCGCTTTTGGCAGTATTGTTTCTTGAAACTTGCCTTGCATTTGTCCAACCTATAAAGTCGATAAACTACATTTAAATTAACATTCTTTAAAAATAAAACTAACCATGGTTTAAAAAAATATAAAAAGTGAAGAAAACGAACTTTGGAAATTAGAAATTGAAACAGACGAATTTTTCTTACAATTAAGTCGGTATCTAATCTGTCGATTCCTGCAAGAACAAGAAGCTTTGGCGCATGACAACTGAGAAATAGATTTGAGAGACCTTGGAACCATCCAACCCAATGTGGTTCGGTTTTAGATAAATCAATTCTCCATGTATACAGCTGTAACAATTAGAATACTGTAAGTTCTGGAAAATTTTTAGATTACTCAGTATTCACTGAAATAACGAGAAGCCAGAACTCACATCACCATTTTTTTTTATTTGAGAAGGCATAGAGACACGAGCAGCTCGAGCATTTTTTGCTGTTCCTGATTTATAGCACCATTCTACTGCCGCTCAAACAGATTTGAATTTAGTTGCGACCATGACATAACAGATTCAAAAAAGATTATATTTAGAGGGCTCACATTGTCTGACTCTGCTAATGAGTATTTAAAACTTCTTCCGAATTTAAAGGAAAAGATAGTCAAGACTTGCAATTAGAAAGTCAAGACCTGCGACTAGATCGTCCATTTATCGTTGATTTAACAATGACATACCACCAATGCTGCCAAACTTTTGTGGTCGATTTTTTAAAAATTGTTTCATCGTTTTCAGCGCTTCCATTGCTGTACCTTCAACAACGTCTATCACAGCAAGACCAACCACATTTTCTATGCGACCACTAGCTGTCACATGAACTGCGAGGGCACCACCCATACTGAAACAAACTAAGTGTTTCATTAGTTACGGATGGAAAATATAATACTAAAAATATAATTTAACGAAAAATTACAGTCTATTATTCTACCATTTTCTATTTTAGTAAACTAACCTGTGTCCTATCATAAATGTGGGAATCGCTTCATTCTCACATATTTTCTTATGAATAGCTAAAATATCTTCCACCTGACGTTCAGTGGATAAATTCAAATCATCTTCAGTTGTAGTATTACCGTGACCTCGCAAATCTGGTGCTACTACTCGGCATTTTACATGCAGAGAGAGCTGTTCCTAAATTAGAATTTATTAAATAATATCAAAATAAATTCTCTATCAACAAGTATTAGATTCATGATTCCTTTTGATAGAATCTCAAATTCCCATGAGATTGATTAAATTTAATTTAATTAAAAATTTAAACATTAGCAGTTTTATTCTCTTAATGCCTATTTTACATCATTAATACATTACAAAGCTTTAAATATATAACAATAATCATGCTAAAAAATTGCTTGCACTACCTACAATTCTTCTAGTTCCAAATTTATGTACATATTTCGCAAAAAGCAACTACATTAGAAGTATAAACCCATAGAATTAAGTTAACTTACTGCCAGAGGTGCCCAAGTAAGACCAGAATAACCACCACCATGAAGCATATAAAAAATTGGTCCTGCGTTACCTTTTGTATAGACACAAAAAACACCATCATTTATATTCAATTCAAGTTTCTGATCAAAAAATTCGTGCCACCCTAATGGTGACAAATCTACTGCAGGTGCTCGACGAGATCCCCTACTAGTAGATGGAGTCGATCTATAACTTTGTCTGATTTACTTTTTTACTTGAATTCGATTAGCATCACTAAATATGAGAATATAATCGTTACCCTATAATGTAAATTTTGGATTACTAAAGAACAGTTTTATCATTACTATGAAATGTTCTTGTAACTTAAATATTTACAAAGAAGATTTTCTGCATAAACTACTATTTTGTTCAATAAAATTGCATGTTGAATCAAAATACTTTTAGTAATTTAAAATCTATGATCTACATTCTGTATGAGCAAAAATGAACTTAAAAAAAAATAATTTATTCATTAGCTCCCAAAATTTTTGATTGATCAAGCATTCTTATACAAATTAAATGAAATTAAATCAACTAGCTAATTTCATGATTATTTTTGAAGACTTCTAAACTTCAAAAAGATAGTACTTTTTAGAAATAAGTATTGAAATGTAGAAAAAATCTGTTGAAATGATAACTTGCCCAGTTGCAACATTAGTTCCGTCTTCATTTATTGGTGGTAATCCTCTTTTTGCCAGCACTTCTCTGTGCAAAGCAGATAGCTTTCGAGTGCTGCTCATTTTGTTTGCACTCTAAACTAATTACCTGTAAATCTTGACAAATATTACGAACTGTCACAAAATCTATTGATAAAACAGAAAAACATGATTAACCCAAAGACTCACTGATGATACTACTTCATATTACATGCAAGCGTGAAAAGTATGTGATTCACCCGACTACAAGTTCAAACAAAACAAACCATTCATCTATTCACGTCAACACAACTTCATAAAAACAAACTGAGTTGAATAAAATCAGAATAGACAAATTCTATTGCACAAAATGGTAAGATGTGCAATGAATGACAAGATGTGCAAATATCTTTTTTTAAATAGAAAAAGGAGTAGTGAAAAAAGACAAAGGGATTTGCTCTTAGATCATATTCTACACAATTCTGGGCCACGATCTGAAACTCGGAAATGGAAGAAAATGATGACATTCGGCACAACGAATATTTGGAAGAATCGTTCCAGATTATAGAGTGCATAATACTTTTCTATCTGAAGCCGAATATAAATAATATAATTTTCAAGATGTTCATCGCAGGATAAAATTATGAACATTTAAAATAACGGACGAAAATTTGATAAAAGATTTTTATATTCAAGAGCAGATGAAGGAACCTATTTAAATAAATGTTAAAGACAAGAAGTACGATAACACTATGACAAAAGCAGTAAAAATAAGGAGAGAAAATAGAGTATAGCGCTGCTTCCAAGGTAACTACGAACTGTTATCTTCCCACGTACTATTAGAAACAGAGCGAATCCCTTGACTATAATTACTTGATTCTTCAAAAATACTGGAGAAATTCCCATTTAAAATTGATGAATTCAAGTATTGTGATACGATGCAAGCGGCTCATTTCATTACACACGTAACAGTCGGTGAATTGAGCTACGAATGGTATTATTAATATGATGAAGCTCTAACAGAACTATTTTTACTTGCATTATTAAGAAATCACTATAATCACAAATTACCTTCCATGTTTGTATCCAGAACAATACCACATAATACAGAAAGAAAGCACCAAAGTATTGCTATTCAAACCATAACCAGAAATCGCAAGTTGGACTAGGTAATGCCTGTAGTAGCCGATAACATAACTCGTATTTGAATTGTATTACGATGATTTGAATTCTGGAATTGTTCTCTGTTATGAATTCGGGTTTGTTTCTTGTTATCAGATTGCGTACTCAATCTCTGTTTCAGTTCCTCACTTAAGAACTATGACACAGCAGCGCTACACATACACGATTGAACCTTTAGAAGGACGAGAGTTTATTCAACGAAACTTCGCAACACTTCCACAAAGGGCATATAAGTACAGCAATCGTGCAGTTACTTTAAATGAGCGTTTCTCAATTATCGAAAGAGGTATTTTTAATCTTCATACTTCCATTACTTTGAATAGTTTGAAATCGTAACCTAGTTCTCAAACAGAACTATTTCTGGATTTTCAGTACACACTACTTTACAACTGATATTCGCTGCATTATCATCTAAATACTTTGCATTTTGTGATTGTAAATGCCACTTCGGTTTCGGATATGATATTTGAAGTAATATACCTGTAAGTGCTTGTCTAAAAGTGTATCTTTTTAAATCATATCAGATTTGAGAAGGTAAAAAATTCCTTTATTTGTCACTTTGACTAATTTTAAACCCAAGCCACAAGCCAAAATTCATATATCATGTCAAAATAAACAACAAAATACGACATAAATTGCATCGTTTAACTACAGTGATCAGTTATCGAACCAACTATATATAATTCATATCACAGAGACATTTTATTGCAGGATATCTTCTTGTTCCAGATATAAGCAGTGTCAATAGAAAATATCAAGAAAGAGTATGCTTGGTACCGCGAAAAAACAATCATTAAAAAAGGACAAGGCAAGTCAGCTATTTCATTGAACAAAGTTGCGAACTGAGCAGTACATATTTTGAAATTACTCACTAGGCATTATTCTTGAAAATATTTTTCAATATTTGTTTGTTTGCAGACAATAAAAACTTGCATATTTCGTATTACTGTTTAAAATGTATCATAAGAAATGTAACGATATATAAAATTTTTACATGTCAATCGAGTAAACATACAGCTTTCTCACCCAACATGAAATTCACTAGTCATGCCATGAGCTTCATTTTGTAGAATCGATATAACTTTGCCGAATACATTGCCAGTAATATCATTTAGCCGAAAATGTATGGATTTTTCTCCAATGGGATTTTATGCCTTGGTGTCACACTCAATACTCCCAAACTCTCGCCATATTTGTTTCCATACCATACTAAACCATTTGATGAGTACGCATATAATCACAAATGCATTTAAAAAGTCATTAATACGACATCTGTCATTTATTAAAGTAACTGTCATATGAAGGAACATTTACCTACCTAAAAGTTCAGTCCCATCGCTAATTGGCCTAAACACGCGATAATATACAGAACCATTGTACTGGAAGGCGATTAAATTCTGTTCGTTCTCGACTGCAATTTTTTTACTCATTTTTTAATTCTTTTATTCCTTTGTTTTTTAAAAAAATTAAAAATTAAATAACTCAAAATGAGGTAATTATTTAAAATTGATTTTTAGAAAGCAACCATCACATTCCAAAAATGACTCAAATGATGAAAGAACTATGAATAGTCCGTTGATTCGTAAATATAAATATTTCAAAGCTTAAATTTTCCTCAGTATAATCTACCGCACACATTTAGAAAATCAATTCATTACTGAATAATCGATTTCACAGAAAATGTCAATAACTACATCTGGAACTATTTATGTAACGCATCCAATTTGAGTGTTTCGGATCGCTACCATCAATGTACTGCGATGGTTTACCACTAATACGAATTTCCCATGAATAACCATTCTGATCAGCCTTTTTTGGATCAGATAATAATATACCTTAAAATTTGCTGCTTCTTAGTTTCAAATATAAATCATTTAAAGTGATTATTCACTTTCATATAAAGTAATGCATACCTTGATATGGACCAAATACCAGTCCTATTGGTATATCCATTTTCGCAAAAACGCCAAGTCCAGCTTTAGGGATTTTCGAAGTTTTTATTTCGAAAAATGCAGGCAATGTTTGCTCTGCTCTTGGTTTACTATCTTCACGCACCTGGAAAACCTCATAAAAATACCAGACAATTATCTTCAGAATTACTGGAACAAAACATCAGCATTAACAGAGATAAAGGTGAAAACAACAAAACTCAGAAATTTTAGCACATTCTTTAATAGAGAAATATTAATATTATCTGTTATACTAAAGTATTGCTGGATATTTCAGAAATAAAAAGAAATATGCCAAAATACATAGCTTACTTCCCTATCGCTTACAATAAACAGAGGATGCAATTGACAAGATGCCCGATAATAAACTCCGCAGAGATCACAATCTGTAAACCGATCGTAAAAAAGCAAAGACAATATTAATTTAAAAAATAAAAAAAGAAACAACATACGTATGTAATCATCATCTTCCAATTCCGATTCTGCCAGCACAATGCCAAACGTCTTTAATTGTTTCTCTAGACAAAAGTAATGTTCTTACTAATGGAGCCACTAAAAGCAATTATAAAGTTGAATTTGTGTTTGCATGTTAATGAAAATTTTAAAATAATGTGAATTTTTTCAGCAAACAAAGTAAATCATAAAATTAAAAATTGGAGAATTTAATTTCATCGAGAAGTATTAAATAGAACTAATTTAACTAATGTGTTCCATGAGCAAATATTTTTATAACATATATAAATGGTACCTGATACCTTCTGCAGCAAACAATACTTTGGATTGTCGCAATCACTTTTAACAAGTTTAACCATTCGTTCTACTGCATCCACAACAAGACACATATGAAAAAAAGGTTAAAGTTAACAATGTTAATTAAGCTTTGTTAGCAATTCCGAATTCAAAACGAAGGCTCATAGCACCATACCTCACTGAATGGCGAATTATCATCATCATCTGAAGGGATCGCATCGCATGCAACCATGGAGATGGTATGAAAGCACGTAACGATAGCAAATTATGAAAGCAATAATAACAGCAACTAAGAAAACTACAGCAAAATAGTACTAGCAGTGTTAACTTGAAAGAAAAAACATAAAGAAGAAAGCTACGTAAAGAACAAAAACTTCACGCCATAACTGATATATAATGCGTATAATTACATATTTGCCCATCACCATAAGCTGCTCAACTGTGCACTAAAAAAGCAACGAAAGCAAAATTTTCACAGACAAAATGAACTAAATATTGCTTGATCACTAATCAAATACTAGATTAGTTTCAATGTGACAAAAATATTCTAATATCTTTCCAGTTACTTTTCTCTTGTTTCATTTCCAGGCTGCATTTTTAAATTCTTAAGCAACTAATTTTGTGGGAAGGAATAGTATTTATACTCGCAAAGAAACAACAACACACTGAGAAACAACAAAGTGTGAAAACGTTTGCGATTATTCACGTATGCATAAAAGCAAGCAAAAAGGCTTTGTTGTGAAGTGAAAAGAAAACAAGCAAATAAAACTACATAAAGTTTCGAATAAAAGGCATATAAAACACAAACAAAACTCGAAAGACATACCTCGTCGGGGGATGAAGTATTACTGTTACGCCGATCCACGTTATCTTCCACTGACATGGATCATAAAATATAGTTTCTTATTCAATACAGCAAAGAGTTTAAGATGAAATTACTCTCTGTATTATCCAACCTGTATATTCAATCAAATTCATAACAATAATTTTCCTTAACAAATTTTTTTATCAGTATCACTATTGTAGTAGTGCTAAAGCTGATTAATAAATCTTCTTAGATATAGAAAAACTAAATCATTCATTTTTTTCTTTGAAACTTCTACAAAACTTTTTTCTAAAATATTCTGCACATACAGCAAAAGATATGCTTCACATAAAGATGGAGAGAAATCATGAATAAAACAGAATTTCAGTACAGTAAAGCAAGTAACTGGAACTGATTTGTCAAGTTTGAAACATTCTGGTCTTAGATGCAAGCTTTGAACTAAGCTGCAGACTAGTTCTGAGCTAAAACAGGGTAATAAACTGAGTTATAGGTTTGGAATGATAACAGTGAATATAAAAAACTGGATTATAAGCAAGTCATGACCTGAATAAACTTGTAGATTTAGCGTTCGGCTGATCCGCATTCTTTTTTGGCATATTTTAGAAAAGATACTAGTATAGATAAGCAGACAGTAGCAAAACTCCACCTGCTGTTGCGAAGTTGCCTGTATTACGGGAGCTGAAGAAAAAAGATGATACTGAGAAAGAAGTGAAAAAATGAGAGTGTCTCCGGTACGTTGGGGTCTCGAATTTGGAAAACTTGGTAAAGTAAGTTCGTATGATTTACTCTTACTTATCAGGCCATGATTTGTTGTTGAGTTACTTTGTATTTAAGTGATTCATTTGTCGTATATTTCTTTAGTTTACTCTTTAGTTTCTAAATTTTTCTTTGCTTTCTCACTGCTTATTTCCGCCATCTTGAACACGGGATTAATCAATAACTTATCAGTTTGCTGGACCACTGATTTGCAAGGTCTAAAAACTTTTACTTCAGATCTATGGACAATATAAATTTACTTTGGCACCCAATGAACAGAAAGTATTCAAAGGATTTTGGAAAGATGCTACTGTTAAGGTAATACTGTTTTATTTTCTCGTAATTTGGATGCATATCCATATTGCAGAAGAAAAAGGAGCAGATGTAGTTTATTGAAAAAGTATGATATTGCTGATGTTAATACACATTGTTCCTTTTTCAAAGTCATTAATCAAATACTCATTCTTTGTGAATGTCTATTTTTTACCTTCCATAACGAGTTGTATGTAATTGACTAAACAGTAGATTTTGGTATCTTCATCTACTTAATGGTGTATTTCTATGTTGCATTAAATTAGGATTTGAAATACTTAAAGCTCAGAGATTTAAAGATATATTTGTATACTGTATGATTTATCTAGTTTTATACAAGTAACTGTCATTGTGATTGTAGGTGCTGAAAAATACTTGGTTAGACCGATGGTATCTTTGGTTACCACAGGTTGTAATTCTTTACTTTCTGACAGATCTTTGTGTGAAGATGAACCACGAAGCGTATCGTAAAAAGCCAGAAGAATTCATCAATGAAGGTGTACCACTTAAGTCGACAACTGGGTCAGAAGAAATATCCTCTTAATGGGTAGTAGATATTTTTTTATTTGTTGAGTAAAAGTTAGCACATGTGATCTAAAGCCTCATGTTTTAAACATTTAAAGAATGACTTTTGCTGCTTTGATGTAGTTAGAAGGGCAAATAAAGTCTTTGCCTCATGTCGATGATGGAAAAATGATATCTGAAAGTATTGGTAGTGATATCTGAGAGTACTGATATACGAACTGTGTTTATATAAAAGTAGTATGCGATAAAACCGCAATACTAAACACTTTTTCCAGTACAGTGTAAACAATATGTGAATTTTGTGAAACAGTTATCACGTGTAGGATGTTTAAAATACTATTTGAACTTACACGCGTAAGACCTAGAGGCATATTACAAACATGAATTCAGTTCACGAATGCATATGATGATTCTTCCCGAGGTTTTTTCCCAAGCTTTCAATACAACATTGAGAAGGACTTTTATCACTTCACTGTCAAGTTTTATTTTTATTAAACTTGACAGTAAAACTTGACAGATTTTTATATCATTCTGTCGTCCAGAACTCAGTAGCAACCAAATTTTAACTTGCAATATTTGTAGCGTTGTTATGCTCGTATGGTATTATTAAAAAGGAATAGAAGTGAAGGAACATCATCAGCAATTATTATTCATTCCATTACAGTGGTTATCTGGTTAACGATTTAAAGGATTTTTGAATAAGAGAATGGTTCTAAGTCATTTCATAGACGTGTAATTAATTAATGGTGCTAATGCTAATCAAACTTCAAAGTTTGGACCTTATAATATCAATAAATTTTCTTGCGCCGAGAAGTGAAGTGTTCGGAACGATTTCGAACAAACCAATCATCGTTCTCTCTTTCCATTTTTTTTCAGAAACAGAAAAGTTAAAGCTTTCATCGTTCGGCATGGTTAAGTCGAATTAGTAAGAGTTTAACCTTTGATCTGATGATGCTATTAGGCAGTATTTGTCAGCTTGTTTGTGAATAACTGTGCTGTCAGTCTTTAGTCAACGTTGTAACACAAACTGATAACATTCAATAATTATTTCTTATGTAAAATACTCTAAGAGCAGCATCAGTATTGTGAGAATTACGTCATATTTGCATTCTATAAAAGATAACGCTTCTACCACGCATGAAGATTACGTTTTTAGTTAATAGAAACACACTAAAAACAAATTCAGTGCTCTCCTGCAAAAATTGGTACGTTTCAATCATTACATGATTGAAATAAATAGGCCATGTGACAAACTGAAATCGAATAGCTCAGTCTTTTACCAGCGATCTTTTGCATCTTAATCCTAGAACTTGTTTAATGCAAGTGCTGCATTAGACAGATTCAAATTCAAAGATTAAGATTCTCTACCTAGAATGTAAGTTCAAGATTTAAGGTAGTGTGACTATAATGCTTAGAGTAAAATTGTAATTTGATTCTGCAGAAGTTAGCAATACATAATTGTAGTTAACTGAAATGGAAGTCAATTTTAAGTTAGAAATCAACTTATGACTTGAAATTATTTAGCTAGCTGTTGGTACGTCTTTGCATACAGTGATTCTGAAGCATTAGAGCAATTATCCGGATGTCAGATTAACAGAGTTCTAGTATAAACTGCGGAAAGCAGAAGAGCAATAAATTTCATTCATGGCTGATCCCATTGAAAAGAAACAACTGTGCTGCTCGGTCTTGAACTCTGTCCTTCATATACACAAGCACCGCATAGTTTACTTGTCAATTCTTTCCACGTGGTAAATGTATGTTTCTACTCAGTTATTTTGTATGAATAAAGGGAGAAACTATACAGATAATTACATTGCTATCACGTAAATCGGTACACAGGAGACTTCATGACCTTTGCTTGCTTAGAGCTGCACAATACCCTGCGTTTACCTCATTCAACTAAAAACACACATCTCTTTCAGTCAAATTCATGCAAACAAGAATGTCGAAGAATGGCGTCAGTCGAACGGAAAGTCTGCTAAAGCCTAGAACATTGCGTAAACGGTAATGAGTGAACTACATCAACCCAACCGTGAATTGCTGACGTGCTCATTAGTGGCAGAGATCGCAGAGCAAATAGACCTCGGGGTAGGCCCCGCCCATGAGCACGCTTTGATGTCACCAGCTGATTGGTTGGATGCTGACGTGGACCAGTAAGCGTGCGCCTCGCGTAATGACATTCTGGCTGGTGGGTGGTTGTTGCCGGTTGGTTATGTTTTTAGTGGACGTTAATTTCCTGGTCGATTATGGTGGTACTTATGCTGACTAGCGGTTTTCAAGCTTGTGAGATGAGTGTTATCCTTAAACTGGTAGGAATACGTTCGTGAATGGGTTTTTGTAACTCTCAAATAGCATTGGTGAAACACGTCATTAGCATATTTGATTAGATAACAACAACAGTTAGTCCTGTCACGATTTACAAATGAGTTAGTTTTTTATGAACAAAAATTCCTTTTTCCTATAGTGCACAGTCTTTGTCAGAAGTGATGAAATAGACGACTACATCCAATTCACGTTACTTCACGTCATGCGATTTATTTTATCCATCGTATATTTTTAGATTTTCTCAATTTTTGTCTAAAATTTTTACAGATACTTTTTACTTTGTGTGTGACTTGATTATTTCTTTTTTTCGTTTTTGTAACTCTTTTAATTGATGGTGATATAGCTGATATAGCCTTGGTCGTTTACTTAACATTACTGTCTTTGAATTGGTCAATGCTGAGCGTATAATCAGAGGAACTGTTAAAAGTGTCGTGAGAAAGTTATATTGATTTATATTGGTTTCCAGTTGATTCATATCATTACAGGTTGTAGATAAAACTCTTCGCTGTATTCCACCCGTAGACTTTGTTCATAGAGTTAACGTGCTATGTGTTCAGTGCCGTTTTTTTCAGCCAGTTTTGATGATTTTTTTTATTGCTTTTGCAGAAAATGCAGCTGCGAAACTTGTTGGCACTCATTTTTATTGCGATAGTAGGCGCTGAAATATATTTCAAGGAAGATTTTACTGGTACAGTATCTACTTACGTTTTTCCTGTGACAGACCAAGTATTCATATGATTATCTTCCTTGAGTGCTTAGAAGCTTCTTATGATGAGTTGGTAATGATCAGAAAGACTTGTGAGGTTGCTGTGACAATCAGAGTAGGACAAAAAATTGTTTTGTGGACCAGTACTCATTACTGGAATACGCAATATATTGTGCAAGTTTAAAATGGCGATTAAACCGGAAATCGTTTTAAAATAGGTTGAAATATACTTGAAGAACTTTTCATCATTATTTTATCTCAGATGATGCTTGGGAAAAAAGATGGGTGAAGTCGCAACATAAGAAAGATTTTGGTGAGTGGAAAATATCACATGGGGAGTTTTATGGAGACGCAGTTAAAGATAGAGGTCTTAAAACGTCTGAGGTAATTCTCGCCTTAATGATATCGTTGTTAAAAATATTCCAATAACTTTTTGAAGCGTTTAGATAACTGCATGTGGTCATTTATACTACTCTCATATGTATTACAGGATGCAAAGTTTTATTCGATTGCTGCTAAGTTTGAAAAAAGTTTCTCAAATAAGGGTAAATCGCTTGTTATTCAATTTAGCGTCAAGCATGAACAAGATATTGACTGCGGCGGTGGATATGTTAAAGTAATACTTTGTTAAGTACTTCATACTTTCTTATCACCGTATTTCTCATTTATTAGCACATTGCTGTAACTTCATACCAATATTTAACCACTTTATAATATCGAAGTTTTGTTTTTTAGGAATTATTTAGTTTTCATTTTAACAATGATATAAATATGTAATTTGCTGAAGGAAATTCATTTCAGTTTCTGCTTCCTTGTTTTTTAAAAGATAAAAATCTTTATCCTTATATTTGCACTGTTCATTTTCAAGCTTATGGCATCAGATGCGAATTTGGAAGATTTCCATGGTGAAACTCCTTATCATATCATGTTTGGCCCCGATATTTGCGGACCTGGAACGAAAAAAGTTCATGTTATATTCCATTACGAAGATAAAAACCATATGATTAAAAAAGATATACGATGCAAGGTACTTTTTAATATTATTTCTCTATTATCGTCTATATTGTGCTTTTCTTGGATTCATCGATAATTTACCAATTTGTATCGGTGTCTATCTGAAAAGCTAAAGCATAATATTTCTGGTATCTACTCGTTCATCTTTTTTAGATGTTCGAGCTCGTTTGAGATGCACAAGCATTTTGATCATCATAACCGCTATTTTAGATTTTTATTAGTGTATGAATTTTTCTTGTAGGACGATGTGTTCACTCATCTTTACACTCTCATTGTAAATCCTGATAATACGTACGAAGTACAAATTGATGGGGAAAAAGTAGAATCTGGTGAATTAGAATCAGATTGGGACATGCTTCCTGCAAAGAGAATCAAGGTTTGATTATTGGTTTTAATAAAGTAAAAATATAGATCAACAAGTTTGAATGCTGTATGACGAGGAGATATTACTAATTATATTTTTTTATTTGAAAGAATGCTGCATAGATTGATAGAAATAGAATTGTGAGGTAACTTTGTTTATCATAATAAAAACTTAATTGTTTAGGATCCAGATGCGAAAAAGCCTGACGATTGGGATGAACGAGAGTACATTGATGACGAAGATGATAAAAAACCAGAAGATTGGGATAAGCCAGAACATATTCCCGATCCTGATGCCAAAAAGCCGGAAGATTGGGATGATGAAATGGATGGGGAGTGGGAACCACCAATGGTTGATAACCCAGAATATAAAGGAGAGTGGAAACCAAAGCAAAAGAAAAACCCTGCGTACAAAGTAAGATTAAAATAATAACACCTGTTTTTTTCTGCTTTTGAAATATTGTTTAGTGTTGTGACTTTTATTAACTTCAGTTATTCATTGTTAGATACTACAATGACATTTTTCAGGGCAAGTGGATACACCCAGAAATTGATAATCCAGCATACACTCCAAATGATGATCTGTATGTTTTCAAAGATATTGGTGCGATTGGCTTCGATTTGTGGCAAGTTAAATCAGGGACCATCTTTGACGATATAATTGTAACTGATAGCATTGAGGTGGCGAAGGTAATTCATATGTACTTATGAATGCTGGAGAAAATAGAAAACCACAAGTTATGCAAACAGTGCTCAAATAAAGCATGCAGTTTTTGATCATATATTATTAACGTATTCTCTCTCTTGTTTACTTTTGATAAATAAGGTAGGTGTTGTGTATGTGTATGTTTTACGACCGTAAAATTTATCATGTTTTAAAGTCTGTATAGTTTATTTATTCGTAGGAGTTTGGGAAGAAAACGCTGGAAGTGACGAAAGAAGGAGAGAAGAAAATGAAGGCGGCGCAAGACGAGGAGGAGGAGAGAAAGAGGAAGGAAGAGGAAGAGAGGGAAGAGAAGGAAAAGAAGGAGAAAGAGGCTGACGAGAAGGAGGAAAGCGACGACGATGAGGAGAAGGAAGCGAAAGAAAAGAAGGACGTTGGGGAGGATGATGTAGAGGGAGAAAAAGATAAGGTAGTTCCTTTCCATGAATAAGTAAGGTAGCTAAATAATGATGAATAATGAGATAGAAAGTAATGACTGATTCCGTCATTCATTATAGGATCACGAAGAACATGAAGAACTGTAAATCTCTGCGGGATGGCGTTTAGTGTAGCAATTCCATTCTTTGTTGTATGTTGGCTGCCAAATCGGTTCGCTTTTTACCCAACATTGTTTTTTTGCGCTTAGGATCTCCTGCAAGAAAAAGCAAGTGCTGTCAAAGTACATCAGTTTGTAAGGGTTTTGGAGATAGAAAATTTCTCGCGATATTGCTGTTGTGTTTAATTCATTTGTTCTGTGTTATTATTATTATTACCTTTATCACATTTATAGTTGCAATTATAATTTTTGGTTTGTTGATGATCATTGAAACATATATGTGTATGTTTCTCTCTTATTGGTTTCCCAGCATGATATTTGTTAGCTCTAAGAATAAATTTAATCTTCTTTACTCTTACGCTTAATTAAACAGCATATCCTTGTTCGGCTTGTAAAATGAGCCAATCTTAACTAAATGTGTTGCATGAGTGTGTACATAATTTACTCTATGTAAATTTTTATCCGCCCTCTAGGAATGCTTAGTACATAGCTGTATTGGAGAGCAAACATCCCTGTATAATTCGAAGATACTACTGTTCTAATGCATATTTATTTTTAATGTTCTGAAAGTTTTATCCATTACTTCAAAACCTACTTGAGCGAAATGGTAATTTATCGGTCCCTTACTACATGACCCCTTATTGATTCATTTTTGCAATATCACTGATGACAGTTCACTTATTACTACAACGTAAGTGGTAAGGATGAAAATTCATTAACATGGTCTTGAACGATATTTTATTTATTACTTGGACAAGCGTGCTTATAATTTTTAAAAATATAGTTCCATGGAAGATGATCACAATCTCTCTGAGTTTAGAAACGATAATAGTAATAGAAAGATTACTTTCAGTAAAATTTGTGAAATTACTCCCAAATTTCAGCTATTACCTAACATGATCTAGTCAGACTACAATTCTCAAAATTACAGAACACATCTTGAACACAAAATGCAGCATTACAAATTTGTGAGGATCTAATTTATATTCAAATATATATGAGTTACATTATTAAACAATGGGAATTTCTTATGAATGCTTAAAAAAGTTAATTTAAGAGATCTTTTTCAAACACAACATGCATTAACTGTAATTAGATAATCACCAGTAAAAGTACTGTAAATAATATAGAAGTTTTGCACAATATGTATACGCACGTAATACTGATTATTATACAAATGTGGGCAACATTAAACATAAAATAACATATTAAAAGCTTTCACTATCACCGGTGTGGGCATGAACTGTGAAAAAATGGCAAAAAAACAGTACTTTGGGATATCACTCTTTTGCTAATCATTTCACTACAAATGTTACCGAAGTATCCTTCAACACTGACAAATTTTTTCAAACGAAGCAAAAAAATTTTCTCGCCTTTATTTTTTCCCGAAAACTGAGAACATGTAGTTTAAAAAGTTCGACTATTAGATTAAGTAACTACTGTTTTAATATCGAAATGATAGAGTAATAGTATGAGCTAATTATTTCAAACTGATTCAAACTGTGCTAGTAATGTTAGCTGCCTTACTTCTTTTAACAGTACTGATTTGCTTGCAGCGGCAAGTTCACTTTATTACGTACTTAGGAATTTAAAGCACACGAACTCTTGATACTTTGGTACTTTTATCTAACATTGAGTTAAAAGAAAATATGCTTATAGATGAATCTCTAAATTACACCAACGCAATTACTATTTAAAACAAAGTAATTCAAATCAGAATATTGAGTTCAGCACTCGCATCTCGCATTTTACAGCAAGCATGAAATGAAATAACAAGTGATTGGCTTTTTACAAATGAATATGAAAGATTTCTGAGAAAGGAATTTCGATATATAAATGAAAACTAACCGTAAGTTTCACGCATAAAAGCGTAAAAAAGCAATGAAATGTACGTTGTTATACAAATTAAAAATAAATTATTAATCACACTCCATCTGTTCCTCTTGATCAGATAAGTTGTGAGTTGTTCGAAATGCTGTAAATGATTCTGCAGAAGACAATTTTGACGCAGAATTATTTGCCACTGCCGGTAATAAGCCACCGCCTGCTAAGTAGAAGTTATGTAAGATAACTACTAATTATTAGCACAAAATCAGTCCAAATCTTAATACTTTTAATTTACTTTTAGACAAAAATAATATAAACCAAAATTTTCATTATACGTGTGGTTTTTCTACATCCAGCTCATACTCATGTATATGGGTAAAAATATGCTCTTAGCTGGAATCTCATAAATTACACCAATGCAACCGTCATTTAAAACAAATTTAAATTACAATTTGTGAAAGTTCATTTTATAAAATCAATCTGAATATACTTAATTAGGCATAAATTTACTTTAAACTGTAATTAACCTTCAACATTGGTTTGCTGTCGTCGACTTAGACCTTCGCATGATGACAATAACTGCTGCTGTTGACTATGCAAACCAATTTCCAAAATTGGTTCTGTCAAACCCTGTCAGAAAGCGAATGACAATTCAAAATTATTTCATTTAAAAAAATTCAAAACTACGTAGAAAATTCTAAGTCAAAACAATAGTTCTCAGCGAATCAGAATACATGCACCGATATAACATTAAAAGAATAAACCAGAAATTTATAGTCTTATATTTGTAAAGTTCCTTCCCATACAAAAAATTTGTAAAGCAATTTTTGTTCTGAATTCATTTCAAAAAATTGCCCTCATTAACATAATTTTCCCCACCAACTGGAAATATTGCAAAAAGCATGAAATTAAGTTGATTCAGACCAGTAATATTTTTAAATAACTCAGAAATCAGTCTTTTACAGCTAAATATTACCAAATTAGTAATAAGAAGAAATAAATTACTGAATCAATTTAATGAACAAATTGGAATTAAAAAGTAAGCATAAAGTAAGTCGATAAACAATTTTAACTAAACCCCATCATTAAATGAACTGAGTTGCTAAACTGTAACGTAATGTATGTAATCAATTTTTGAAGCACTCACCGTAGTATAAGGTATAGGTGAAGGGATCCCACCACTTGTAGACCTTCCTGAGGAGTATTCCTCAGAATCTCCAAATCGCAACGATCGCGTAGCTGGTGCTAATGAAAGTGCTGAAGCACCCCCTGCTGTTGTGGCGCTAATCCCTGCGGTACTTGCCATGCCATGAAGTAAAATGCTAAAATGTTTTTTACTTAATATCACCATTATTTTCTGACATTAAACAAATGTGAGCGCCAAAAATAGAAGAAGATATCTAACAAATATTCCTATCTTTTCCGCATTTCATTGACTAATCCTTTTTCAAATCTTTCGCTATCTTTTGTACCAAGATAAGACATCTGCATATCTTGTTGACTTACCTATTAATTTATCTGTTCGTTTATTTATTTTCACGTTTATCTTAAACAATAAACTATCGATTTTTCTCTTGACAACGAATTTTGAATTGCAAAAATAATACCGTGAGTATCTATAAAAAAGATCGAAAATTTTGACGCAAAGTTTTTCAAAATAATAATAATAATAATAATAATAATAATAATAATTTGTCTTAAACTCCTTCATGCTGATGAAAAAGTTGAATTGATTTGCAAATTTTTATGTAAATATTAAATCGAACTTTTTATTCATGCACGATGAGACGGAATTAGAACGTTTACGTTTACTCTGGCCATAATGTGGGAGAACTCGACTTGATCGACGTGATGTACCCAACGAAGGCCGATTAGAAAGCGTTTGTCGTAGAACCTTTAATTAAAACTTGTTGTAATTAAGAAGTACTTTATTTTAAACTCAATACCAAACAATTCTTCTTTATATAATTTATTTTATTTAAATATGTATTTAGAAATAGCTTCAAAATAAGCAAAAATATTTTCATTTATTTCCAGGACAAAAAATAGTTGTAATGAAAGTATTCATAATAAAAAAATATGATGTGAAAACAAAATGAAACATAATTTGACAAAAATAAACAGTGCTACCATTGTATCCAACGAGGTGCTCATACTCAGTGGTGGTGGTTGGTTCGTGGGTACTTGTTGATGATGATAAACACCAGTGGATGCTGTCAGCGAGGTGCTGCAGGTGCTTTCCGTGGAACTGAACACTTCACCACTACATAAAGATGAAGTTAACATAGGACACGTTTGCTCTCGTGACCTCTGTCTCGAATTTGAAGTATGTGGGAGTACTCTCTGAGCTTCTCGAACCTGGTATCAATTTTTACTGCATTCATTTTTTCAGAGTAAAAAATCTTCTTAGTTATGCATATTTTTAAACTGAATAAAGGGTAAATATTAAATACCTGACAGAGATCAAGAGCAGCGATTGTAGAACGCCTCTCCATATCACTGATTGGATTATCATCAGGTCGTAAGATAACATCTTCTACGGCTCGCTTCAGATCACCAATATGCATAATCTAATCTGATAGTCCTTAATATTAAACAGATGTTTTGATCACTGAATTTCGGTGCATAAATTGAAACGACTATGAAATTTTGGCACACTACTACTTATTATTGTTAGATAATAATAATATAAAGAACTAATTTATTACTTCATAATTACACTGAGTATTATTGAAATAATTGAGTGCGCTGCTTTGCAAGCTCAAATGAATACAACTTTGTTAAGTATAATTAAAATAAAAATTGAATAAATTGCATTTCTGATCTTATACTTGCGAATTTGAAAAGAAAGTCAAAGTCAAGCCAAGAAAGTCAAACCATAAGTTACATAGTTTGATGAATAAAATGGCAAGAAAATGGAAAAATTGACAAATTAGTGGACTGAAGAAGTGTCAAAATTGAGGTCAGCAATGTCGCCCAGAAGGAAACATACCTGTCCCAAATAACACTGCATGATACTTTGCGACAAATTAGTGCATACATATTTGTTGAAAAAACGACTAGCTGAATTTTTTATAAATTTTATTGATAAAAATTATAAAAATTAGTCACAAAACTTTAAAAAAATCATTTTTATTAAAAAACTACTTAACCTTGCACAATATTGCATTGTATAATTGCATAATTAAATGATGTAATTGATCAGTTATGTTCATCAATTCAGTTAAGTGCCTGAGAAGAAAAATTCACAAAGACATATGATAAGTATTGATAATAAATAAATATTAGAATGTAGCGACAACAATATTTATGCTAACTGGTAATAACAAGGAACTGATAATGGATAAAAATTAAACGAAAACACTGAAAGTAATCAAAAATGTAGAATAATATGATAATAGTGCGATGTGATGATAAGACACTGATAATGATCTTAGGCTAAACTTTATAATAAGATGGCTAATAGTGGAAAACATCAAGCATTAGGGCAGGCAGTAATAATAAATAGAATATTGGCAGAATGATGATAATAACTACATAATGTGATAATAAAAACAAAGATAATGACAATAGAATTACAATTTGAAACAATCAAAGAAATGGCTGAAAAACAATTTTATCACAAATCTTTCTTTGATTAGACCACTACCTCCCACAAGATACGATAGAACAGTGATAATGGCATCTCTTAAATGGCATAATGTAATCATTTGATAAAATCTTCGTAGTGTAATCTTGCAGTCTTATAGTATTATATAATTAGAATATTTAATTTTGCTCACAGTTAACACTTAAAAAACTACATATTTCATTTTTTCAGTATGTAATCAAATTTTTACAGCGCTCATTAATACATATCTTAATGATCAAAAAATTAGCATAAACAACCATTACGAATGATAGATGCGATGCGATTAGAAAAGCATAGATGCTTTTATTTAAGCTTTTTAATTAATATTCAACTGATCAAAGATCAAAAATAGTTCCAAGTAAATTGCATGAACAAATTTAATGATAGCGAACTAGCAAATAAACAATCATTATGCTATGATCCAATAATATAGAAGTGAAAATACTAGTATAGTTAATAACATTATTGATAGCAAACTATGATAAGTAAGAGAATTTCAGACAAAATATGTATGTGCTTGATGAACAGAGTTTGAAAGAATAATGATAATGATAAAAATAATGCTGGTAATAATAATTAATAATAATGATAACAGATAATGATAATAATTAATCGATAACAATATTGATAGTAAGAAATAAACATGCAATATTTATAAATAATAAATAATAATAATGATAATAATAAATTTGACGATAAAACGATGGTTACACCAAAAATACTCAATGATGATTTATTGCTTAGCAAATATGAAGTATTGAATATAATAAATATAGCGTGTATACTTGTTGTTTGAGCTTTGAATGCTACTCTCTTCTACTTCTGATCTGCTAGCACATGCTGTTCTGCTGCGTGCACTGTTAATATTACAATTAATTACTTATTTTCAGCATAGACTGAACTGACTGTAAAGAGTAAGTGAAACATTGCGCAATAACACAGTGACATATTTACTCCACAATAATATTAAGAATAGACACACTAACAGATAAGTAAAAATTCTCAAAAGGAGCGCTAAGAATGCACAGAGATGAGATGGAAGGAAGTAGCAGTGAGAAGAAACCACTCCGAGATCAATAATTCCTTCCAGCAAATGATGTCCCTCTACGCATCATCGCTTCATTATTTACTTTGACTTCTCATATATATGAACTATGACCTTGACTGAAATTCACAGTAATATAAAAGATATGCTGACTTTACAGTGATTCCATTTTGGTCTCAAAGATTTGCTTCTAAGCAGTAGCAATAGTATTTCAGGTAAATGTTACATCCATATTTTGTTGTTGTTTACGTGTATATCACTTCAAGTATGACTACAGCCTCAATCACTGCGTATTATACGATAATTAAAATTGTACTGTATAAGATGTTCAAAAGAGCAGTGGAAGATATTCAATCTATAAGTGTTCGAATTTGAATTAGTTACAACAGTTGTAATTGCAAGCCCAAATGGTCAGGTAGAGAAAATTTAAATAAAACTGATAATAGCCCAGTCAGTGCTTGAAAATAAGCAAGAAAGATTAGTCGGTTTTGTAGAAAGACTGACTTTCTAGCACTGCTAGTCACTCCCATCACTGACTCTTATCATACTTTTACACATTTTTATAAAATTAACTTAGAGAGTCCAAAAATTGTCTGTTCATATCAATCATTAGCTTTGCTTGTCAATGACAGCACCGTTGCTTATTGCAGTTTCCATTCTAATACAATTCTAACAGTTCTTCGCGGTTATCTTTCAGTGCTAAATAGCATTTAATCACTATATATCTTTCTACTGTCACGTTAATCAAAACTACACCACACTTCACATTTTCAGTATTCGAATCCAAATTTCAGTCGCTCACTGTATTCTGTCTTCTATTTACAATCTGAGAATGTTCAGTGTTCAGTCATAAAAGTGTTTTCTCATTTGGTCAATTGCGTGGAATACAAACTTGTGAAAAACTCTGAAGCAAAAGGAATATTAAGAAAAACTATATATTTATTAGATGATAATTGGGTGAGATTTGAAATTGTGCTAATTAAAATAATTATAAAAAATTAATGTTCAATCAATAAAATTTTCAGAGAATGACTAAGGATGTTTGTTGTAGTCAGTTGACATTTGGTCACAATAAACGCTAAAGGAATTGCGCAAAAAGACAAAAGTTGTACACTCTGAAAATAAATCAGTTATGAACTACTCATAAATTGATCGGTTAACTCAAGAATCCACGTTTTAATGATTATGCGCAACCTCAATTTCAGTACTAACAAAAGTCGATAAAATTGTACACATTATAAATGACAACAGTATAAGTTACGTATTTATTAATGCATGAAATAACCGGACAATATTATACTCTCTGAGCGTCACATGAAAAAGTTGTGTAAACATGACAAGTCACGTTGGTAAGTTCACATAAGCAGCATGACTACTCTCAATCGTATGCTTGATTTTAACACATTTTGGAATGAAACGTTGCATATAATCTATTAGTTTCTGATATATTTTTAAAAATCTTACAGAAATTAAATTTGACTAAACATGGAAAATGATAAGAGTGACCTGAAGTAGCTCCTGCTGTTGTTCTACGTAAGATGAGGTTTAACTCGCACAGTGATGCAAAAACTGTTTCATAAACTACTCAGCAATCACGTAAAAATCAACTCACGCAATTACGTAACAATTGTGCCATGAACTAAGACAATTTCCTTTAATACTACTTCTCATCGAAAAAAGTACAACATCTCATCGATCTTATTTTCCTCGAGTCTCTTCCGGGAAATTGATAATTTTACTGTTTGCTAAGTTTTCAATGAAAATTCTTTACGTATGACTTAAGTCTGTACTACGCTTGATTCGCATAGAAATGTGTGTTGATTTCAGCAAATAGATGGAAATAAATGAACAAAAGAACGCATAAAGAGATGTAAAAGAAACAAAGAAAGCACAAACTTTTTGTTATATTAAAATGGGAAATCAATTTAGTTAGTAATTGCGCAGTTTTGAATGCAAAGCAATCAGAACTCGTATAAGGTGTCTTATACGTGAGTTTTACGTAGGCTATACATATGGACAACTTGTAGCCTTGAAACGATCGATGGCAAACTTTGTTAAGACACACACAATTATAGTGGCAAGTGAGCACAATGAAGCGATCAATTCTCGGCGAGCAAATGGGCAGGAAAAGTTTGTATTCATTCTGTCATTAATGAATTTTTGCTAAAACACACTGGTTGTTCTTTTAACTGCCAGCAACGCGGGCATGACCTTCCATACAGAGTCATCTTTTGCCTGAACTTTTTATTCTATTCAAAGGACCTTTACCTGACCTTTGAAAATCCTTTACATAGAAAAATGCTTGAGAAAGACTTCGGTTTTCTGTGCAATTTTTCAGAATGGTAAAAAAGTATACATAGGAAGCGCAGCGCGTGAAAATTCATTACTTCACGTAAAAAGAGATTCAAGATGAAAATGCTAAATTTTCATCTTGAACCAAACAGCGAGCTGAGAAGTGATAAATTCATGATGGCTTCTCTTTATCCCGTCATCCTTCACTAATAAGAAGTAATTTCTTACTCACTTGCTTGTGAGCGCGTAAAATCTCTGCCAAATATATCATTTTGGAAGTTAATATATTAGTTTAGGAGCAAAATGCTTGATTACGTAAACACTTATAAGTACGTTGTTTCTAATGATCAAAATGTATGCTCCACTGACGATCTATGAATTTTTTGTTTAACTTTTTATTCTTTACAATTATTTATTACATTACCTAAATTATTATTATTATTGTTATTATTATTGTTATTATTATTATTATCATCATTATTATTATTGTATTTACCACTTTTGCTGTTCATAAAATTGGTATTAGCTCAAAATGTTTGCAAATGTAATTGCAGATGAAAGTATATTTACTACAATATATTTACTGTCTTTGTTATTATCATTACTATTAGTAAAATATATTAATTAATTAATTAAAATGTTATTACTTTTTCGTACTTGTCGTTTACTATTAGATGAGTAACCGATTGCTATCAAAACAAATCCACTGATATTGTTAACGTTGACAGTAATCTTTTTTGTTATTTTGATTCTTTTCTAGAGACTATTTTGTGCATGCAACAATTATCTAAAAAAGAATTTTCGATCAGAAGCCGTTTCTTTCATTAATTTAATCCTAACATTATTAAGCAAGTAAAAAAATCGCGCTTTTTTCATTTTGGCATCAATAAATTAAAATTAATAATAATGACAAAAAATCAATAAAATTTCTAAAATAACTTTAAAAAAGTAATTCTTACATGCCAGTTTCACTGCAAAATGCTGACACTACCACTGCATAATAGTTGTGATAATGATCAATTTTTGTTAATTATTATTGTTTATGCAAATCATTTGACCTTAAATTTTTACTCTTACTTATTGACTAATTAAGATGTTACTACTTTTTCATATTTGACATATACTACCGATAATCACATTTTTAAATTTGCTTTAGTTTTGATTCATTTCTGAGACTTTTTTACATTTATCATCCAACTTGAAATGTAATTAATTTGAATGCGGAAATCTGGGAATATACTGAAACGTAGACATTAATATAAATCTGACTTGCAGTGATAAGAAAGACAAACGAAAGCCTCGAAATCCCAACTCTTCCTTGTTGAATAGTACTAATCACTTACTTACATTGTTTTCTTTTTATCTAAAAAGATATTTGTGTAAATTTTGTTCTGTTATTGTACTTTACAAAAGAAAACAAACTGTACTCACTGAATTCAATTAGTACTAAAGGCGAAAGGAATTATTAGAAATTGTTTAATTTGAATGAATAAGTTATTATATTTATGAAAAAATCAATTTCTATAATTTTCAGTTTTCAAAAGTAAAAAAAAGAAAGAAAACTCTATGGAGATAAAGCAGCTGTTTTTATCTATTCTTAAGCTATATGAGTTACTTGTGCAAATTATGCT